AGAAATAGAAAATTTTTTAAAAATCAATGTATAGGATTAGCTTTGCATACACAAGTCTAACTCATAAAGTTGCTCTAAACCAATATAATAGAAAATCTAATTTAATAGTAAGAATCTTGAAAAAGATAAAAAACTAAAAAAAAATTCTGAAACAAAACTTGGAAGCCTCTTCAGAGACTTGCTGGATAGCACATATGGTTTGCAAAGGATGACATCACAGAGATGTCTTTGTACCATGGTATGGGAAAAGTGAGAGCTAGGAAGAATGGTGGAGATGAACTCAAGTCAATTATAAGGTACCCAGTCCCTTCCAGAAGGTGTTAACTAGCTGCTTGCAGCACCTCTCCGCCGGACTTTGTCTCCTCCTACCATTTTGCATATCTCAACCATTCATTATACTAGATAAGGGAGTTGTGATTTACTTCAGAGAGACAATTTTATTAAAAAAAAAAAATACAAATGTACACCTTTCAAAACCAAGGAAAAAACAGCTTTCCTGAAGCAAGTCAACACTGCATCCCACTGTCAAAATGGGGCAGGGTGTGGCAAGGGAGCTTTATTTTTTTTCTTAAAAAGGGAAGTCATGCCATTTATAATAATTTTAATAATAAACTTTAAATTAGAACACCAAACACTTACACCTCCCTTAACAGTTCTCTATTATGGTCATGATGAACAATGGTGACTTAGCTTAAGGGAAAAGTCCATGTTTTCTTAATCCTTTTTTTTTTTTTTTAATTAGGAATGTTTTTACTCTGTAAGGATGTTTCTATCCCAGCTACAATATTCAGCCTGGTGGACTTCTTGTATTAGTCAGTGCACCTTATCAAATAGAGAGGGGGATAAGAAAAAGATTACAGTGTTGGATGAATGCAAATATATATCCACATTTGTATGGCTAGTATAGAAAAATAAATATCTTTTGTTTGGTTGTGGTTTTTTTCTGTGAAAATCAATGGTTCTGTACATAAAAATGATATACCTTAAAAGAAAAATAACAACATTAACTCTGCAGTTGCATTTGGTCTGAAAGTAACCTAGAATGTGGAACACTTAATTTGTCAAGGCATTCTGACAGACCTCATCAAAAGTCCAGTATAAGCTTTACTAGTTTGGCTCATTAAATTGAAAATGGGCTTTGAAAAGGTCATGGGGAATTAGAGGTTACAGAACAAATAATCAAACCAATTAGCTATAACTTGAATGTTGTGAGCTGCCTAAAAGAGAAAGCAGACCTGACCTTGTCAAAGAGAGAAGGATATTAAAATTGTATACCAAGAAAGAATCCAGAAAGCTTAATAAAATTATGTAAATTATTGCTGAAGTTTGGGTTTTCTTGTTGCCATTTTTTTAAGAACAGAAGTACTAAACCTCTCCCATCCAACATAATGATATTCCTGTACTCAGCTCCCTACCCATTTTAGAAGTTTCTGATTCACAGTAAATGTTGCTTATTTATATTGTGAAATTATACATTTAAGTCTCACAATCTGATACTCCTCACATGCCATATTGTAGATTAGAAATAACTGCACTGAACATAATTATGTCACTGTAAAATTTATATAAGAGGGGAAAACAGGACATTAATGTCCATGTTAATTTTGATTAAAATAATCCATTCTGTGAAATCTGACAATGTATACCAAGCTATCAAATGTTTTTTCTCTTCATGTATGTTGACATAAAATTCTTGTAAATTCTTGTATAAGTTAGCCACTTTGCTGAATTTTCTAACATGTTAAATAGCAGTAAAAGATTGCATTGAAGAAAGCTGGAGCTATCCATGTATCAATTCTTTTGTTTTCTTTAGTGCTGAGCTAAAAGGATCTATATTATTTCCTAAAAAAAAAAATTTTTTAAGTTCTATTTTGTTAATTTGCAGACACATAAATGTCTAGTCAAGATCTGATGGAGAATCAAATCTGATGGAGAAAAAATATGAGTGGTATTACTTTTTAAAATTTATTAAAGGATTGTCAGAGGGACAGTTGGTTCAGATAAGTCCCCTGAAGATTATCACTGGAGCTCACGAATTTGACCACTTGGCTGTCCTTGACTTCTCTGCTTCTCAAATTGACCAATATTTTCAGAACTGTTCTACACCTTCTTCACTAACTTTAAAAATTTATTTCCCAGTGACGGCAATTAACATTTTTGCATGAGGGCATGCTTGGAATGATGACTTGTATTTACTTCTTAGAGGTTGCTTTAGTCTGAGAAAGCTGGATACCAAAAATTTAAACTACTCTCTGAACTGAGATTATTATGCTCCACTGCCCCAGACAGAGGCTGCATAATTCGTACCAGCTCAGGATTTTGGCTCCATTACCCAAAAGTGGTTAGGAAACTAGAATGTAGTGTGTGAAAGAGTTCATTGCTGAGAAGGGGATTCTTCTGTTGAACTAGAAGACAAAGAAGGCTCAAGGTTAGGATGCCTCCCTAAGTAACTGAGAACTGGCATGTTTCACTTAAATGGAAATCACAGATAAACTATTTGAGAAATGTAATACCTTTATCAGCACAAAAGTGGATAAATAGCAGGAGCTGGCAGCAGAAGGGAAATGATGCACTGCACGTGCACAGCACTTGTTTTGAATCAGACTCTATTGAACAGAACTGCTCAGAAAACTGGAGAGAAAACTGAATAATGGCATTCAAAGACAAAGGCTTTACCATAAGGCAACATTTGTACTAAGTGTTGTCAAAGTGCTAAGCTATTGTTTTGGATGTCATATGAGAGAGCAGTTGATGAGTTGAAGGTGACAAAAAGGCCACATCTTTGGGGCCAGAAGTGACTTCAAAAAAAAGATTTTTCAGAATCAGCAATCTACTACAGTTGTAGCACAACTGTGTGGCATGTTGAGCAGTCCTGAAAAAAAACAGACCACTGGAATATGTTTCATAGCAATGCTAAATTTATAAACTTCCTACAGCCTACTAAAATAACATTTCAGGATCAATTCAGCTTGTGATCTTACCATGCTACTCATGTTAGAGATAAAACAAAATTAAATTCTGTGTTTTTGAGGCATAGGAACAGAATGTCTGAATGATATTATGCAGAACTTGCAGTGAGATCTTTTGTTGAACTCAGTTTTAAAATGAAGGTAAAGAGGTGGTTTCAAATAATGTTATTATGGTCTATATTAGTTTCCAAAAATAAACTGTATGTTCTATAGCATTTTCATTGTACATTATTCCACATATGTAATATTTGGTTTGGCTTCTAATAATCCAAGAATTTATTTTTGAGTTTTATTCTCTTTGGCTAAGTGTGAAAGAAAAGGTGTGGCAAAGTGATAATTTTATATCACATAATAAACACTCCTGTTTATTTGAAGTTAGGTTGTTTTTAGAAAAACACGTAGATTGTTTGTCATCATTTGACTGTAATTTGAAATTTTAAAATAAAAGATTAATCCTCTTGACATATATCTTTTTCTGGCAGTTGCATGTCTCCTATTTCCAAGTCCTTTTTTGGTTTTGCGTGTGTATTTATATTAAAATATTGAAGAGTAGTATACTCTCCATGATTAATAGGTTAGCAATGCATATAAACTTGTGATAAAGTAACAAATTCCTTTAAGCCAAAGTATCTGACCTACAAACAAAATATTGTTTCAAATGCCCTTTACCTATTGTCAGAATGTATTCTACATCTAGATGGAAATCAATGGTATTAGTATCCTTATGACAACCCTTCTATGTGGATTATATGCACTAAGTGGTCCCTGTATTAAAGGTTTTACTGCTTTATAAAACTTAGAGCAAATTTTTTGCCTTTATCCTTCGAGTTGTTTTGGATTCAGGATTTAGGAACATTCTTCATGTTTAGGTCTTTTTCTCATTAAAGTTCTGACCTTACATGGTTCTGAATTGTAAGGAAAAATCATTGCATCTATAGTCAAAACCAAATAATAAACAAAATATTACCAAAGGCTTGATCTTGAAATATAGCAAGAAGTTTGCTGATTAAGAGATTTTCATTTTCTATCAATTTTTGACCAAAATATAGGCAGAAGTCAAATATTCTATAAAAGGCATAGGAATGAGGGTGATGCAGCAGCTATGCCCCCTGCCAAAATTTGTTCATGGGTAGTGTTTATTTAGACAGATAAATAAATAATGCTTTTAAATCAGCATTCTCACTGGGGAAAACAGGAGACTCTGGGCTATGTTTAGGTTCATGTCTACAAAGAGCTAGAGACAACACCAGGCTAAATGCTTTGCCTCAGGTCAGATGTGGTTTATTAATCCAATCTGAGTGGAACCCAAGAACTTGACTTGCAGTACCTTTTCTGCATGCACTGCTTTATTTTTAAAAATGAATAACGTAATCTGTTAAAAACCACCAAAAACCCCTCATGAAATATTTATCACAAACCAGCTTCAGATGTGGTACTTCAGATAAAATACAGGCAAATTTTGCAATAGCGTTTGATACATGCCCTTTTGATAGGAGAGCTGTCATCTGTCAGTCAAAGGGAAATTGGGGGATTTCATCACAGCTCTATAAGGAAGGGTTGGCTTCCTCTTATGGCTTCTATATTTGTCCTTTGTTATCAGCTGTGCAGAAAATTAGATTTCTGGATTTTTCCCATTTTTAGGATACTTGGAGAAATCACATTTCCTATTTATTGATATTGGTCTAGAGATAAACTCATATCCAAGATGATGTAATAGGTCATAAATTTTTATTTAGAGAGCTGGTAAAACAAAATTCAAAGAGGAAGAGATTTTTCTGCATTATTGTTATCTCCCCCCTCCACCCTAAAAGACTATGGATCAGAATCCTTTGTTCTATATAAAATGTCTATGTTGCTGTAAAGCGTGAGGCTCTGTTGATTACAGGAATAGTAGAAAATGAAACTTCCAAGTAAAAAAGTCCTGGAAATTCTTAGAACAGCAAGCTATATTTTTTCAAAGTAAAATGGAGTAGAGAGAAACCTCAAGACTTAAAGTACTGTATATCTGTATATGATTTTTTTCTTTTTCAGTGATTAAATTCTATCCAGTGCAGTGAAATTCTCAAAATTGAGAGGAAGAGTTATCAAGGAGTCTCAGCCATTTCTACATTCATGGATCACATGAAAATATGTAAGTTGTCTATCTTCCTTTAATAGTGCTTGTCAGTCCATTGAATTTAACATTTAAATCTTGTTTGTGTTCTGGATTTATGCAATTTATTGTTATAGTAGTGATCTCAAAACTCCCCAAGAATTTTTGTGGAAAAGTGACAGTATTGTGAGCTTTTTTTTTTTTTTACTGCATGTCCAAAGAGGATTAGTGAAGATTATAAAATATTAAACATAAAATCTCACTTTGGTAATTAATTGACTAACAGTACCTAACATTATTTTAAAAGAAGTTATCTTAGAAAAATGTTTTTTTTAAGTAAAATTCCACCTTACCAACAATTCTGCAAAGTGCTGGCCATATTGTCTTGTGAGGTGGAACCTAGTCACTGTTTTGAATGAAGTCCTTTCTAAGAGGCTGTAGAATCACTGAACTGTTTCTAGGCCTTTGATCTCAAAATTTTAAAATAGAAGTAAAATACGAAACAGTTGTATAATCTTGCCAGCTCTAGCAAACCCAGCAAAATCAAAACCAAAACAAGCAAACTCATTTGGAATATTGTTCAATGAGCCAAGTGGGTATTGGTATGCTTAAGTGGTGAAGAAAACACAGAGTTACACACCTGTCTTAGGATATTTCGTGATACTTCTTGTAAAATGCCATTAGGTGCCATCTTCATTCTGAACGTCCATGCAAGGAGGCAAAGAAATGTTAAAACCATGCATTGAAATAAGAGGCATCCAAGCTGTTTGTTCATTTATCAGAATTATGTACTCAGACAAAAGATTTTGCCCCTAAGGTGAAAAATTATAAGTACAACCAGTGAGCAAGGTGTCAGATTTTAATAAAGGCAAAATAAAGTTCCAATATCACTCTGATGCAATTTAGAATGCTTGGGCTTGATAGCTACAAAGATGATTTAAAGACAGATAAAGAGAAAATACAGATGATAAAATGGGACTAAATCTTCAGACCTGACAAAACATTAGACATTTATTTGGAATAGAATGTTCTTGCTACAGTGAAAACAGCAAGCTAACATGTTTAACTTCATAGAGGCCATTGTTTTGGAGAGGAGTCTGGTGAGAAGTGCTGGTCAATTTGCAAATGTACAATGAAATGCAAACTAAGTATTTACACCCCTTATGAAAAATGTTATACTTTTTTTATCTCTAACCTTTAAGTAACTTTATGTAATTAGAAAATAATTATCTGATAACTATATTTTCTACTGAAGCTTGTATTAGGATATTAAAATTCAAGAGAGAGAGGGCAAACTTGGAGAAGGCATCTTGCAAAAATTGAATCTTGATGGAGTTGGGAAGGTGTTAAGCTCATACTTTTACACTGATTCAACTTCATCCTTATAAAGGTAAATCCATTTTTAAATTGGATAACTTGTTGGTACATTAAACATTTCACATTTTTAGGGATTGCATAATTACAACTTGTTGTATATGACACCCTGCACTGGAATAATTTTCTAAAAGGTCAAAGCCAGTTAAAAACAAAGTTCCAACTTACTTTTTGTGTTAGACTGATTACTTAGAATTTCATTAAATACCCAGCCCTGGAAGAAAGAAAGAGAATGAAATATTGTAAAACTTTACCCAATAATAGATTGTGACAAATGGAATTTATCAGTCTCGTGACTTGTTCTTTATTGATCAGAAGCATATCATAGCATTTGATTTAATAAAAGTACAGTTAAAGCCATTCACAAATGATGCTTGGATATAAGTACAAGTAGGTTTTATTGATTTCTAGTGTCAGCAGGGCTTCAGAGAGATTTAGCATATGTTGAACATATGAAAATAGCAGGAACAAAAGAAAAAAAAATTCTCCTACTCTATCAGCTAATAAAGTTTTAAATGTTTGTAAAGAATTGAGTGGGCTCAGTGCAGCACATCCATGTGTATTTCATAATATCCCATCAGTTAAATGAACCGCACAAATAATCACTTAAAATCTATTAAGTACTTTTTTTTTTTTGCCACAGAATTTATATAAAACACAGTTTTACTATTTTGTCAGTATTTTTCTGGGTACTGAGTTAAGTATGTTTTCCATAGAAAAAGCAATGAAAATTAATTTTCTACCTATGTCCCCTCTATGTAACATACCTGCCATGGACACATAACATTACAGTGGGAAAATAATCATAACCAGATTTGGTATGCCTTCATCTTCCAAAATTATTTTCAAAGCATTTTATGTGGCTCTGAAAAGTCTTCTGAAACGTATCATGTCAGTTTCTGGTCATAGGCCAAAGAACCTTCGGTTTCTTACACTACAAGGTAATATGGCAAAAATGTATCTCTGAGAAACCAAAGAAATGCAGTGGAGATACACACTGGAAAAGAATGCGGCTTTCGGGGGAACAAGGAAGACTTGACACTGTTAGGGACCTTGAGTCATTAGGAGAGTGTTATAGGAATAAAAAAAATAATTGTTTATGTAAGACCCAGTCATTTGAAACTTGATGGGTATGGACCTAATTTCATTTTTTACAGCTTTAGGGGTAGTTGTCTCCTATAGGACTGGTTCTTGTTAACTCATACCCCACTGCCAATAGATGAAATGGCTTTTATCCTTTGGGTTTTGCTAAGATGTGGAAGTTCCCAGTATTCAGACTTTTTGCTTGCTATATTTGTATGTACATTCATCAGAATTACTCCACTGGTCAATGCAGGATAAGTTTTGAGAATTTGTAAATAGCTTTTTTAAAATTATTAAGAATTTTCTGAATTGCAAAACTGTTTCATCTCAATCAGAAGTGATACAACCTAATATAAGGAAGGAGGTAACCTAGAAAATATATTTCCTAAAACCTTCAACTTCCTTTCTAGCAGTTTCTTCAACACTCTTACACCGGAACTTTTCCACACTGAAACTTATCCTTATCCATACTTGCAAGCTTATATACATTCAGACTGCTACTTCTTCTCTAGACAATGACTTTTGAATATTTGAGGTGACCTGTCTTTGTTTGTTCCTAATAAGTTATATCACTTTGTAGAGAAGCAAGGGGACTGGATTTCTCAGCATGGAAATTGTTTATTCATCTCTTACCTCCTAGCCAAAATTTGTTTTATATTAAGCTTTTTCATTTTTTTTTTCATGAAGAGTCTGCAATTAATCTAGAAATTTATTTGGTAACTGCCTTGCATCATTTGACCAGTGACACATATTAATACAGATCAGCATTCCTGATATACTAACTGTTGTGCATTAGCCTTGGCTAGAAGCAAAATGCCCACCCTATTTCTCACTCACTCCTCCCATGGAAGTGGGACAAAATAGAAGGAAGGTGTGAAGACTTGTGGATCAGGATGATGACAGCTTAATAGCAGAAGCTGTGGATATAAGCAAAGGAAGAAGGGGAATGCATTTACCGATAGGCTGGCAGACCTTTAGCCTTTTTCTGGAAAGGAGGGTCTAAACAAATGTAATGATAGCTTAGGAAGATAAATGCTGAAACCACAAACATTCCTCCTTTCCCCTCCTTTCCTTTTTTACTGCTGAGCACAATGTCATGTGGTTTAGGATATCCCTTTGGTCAGTTTGGGTCAACTAGCCCAGCCACTTCTCTTCAATCTCTTACCTGCCCCACCTTACTCACTGGGGAGGGGGAGGAAAAGAGAAAGCACTAAAATGGCTTTACACTGGGGCACTGTCAGCAGTTTTATAGCCACAAATCCAAACACAGCACCGCAGAGCTGCTGAGAATCCAACTCCCTCCCAAACAAATCCAGTGCGCTGATGTTGACCAATTTATTTGCAAAGATGGAAGTAATTGTGCATTGTAAAGTACTTCTAATGATGAACCCTTTTAAGGCAGCTGCTCTTAGGTTAGGCTGTTGACATGAGAGAGAAAGCCTGGCTTGTCAGAGTGAGGGGGAAATAAAGACTGTGCTTAGCAGTATACCTTACACATTTTCTGTTCCTTCCTTGTCAATATATTTCACGTGTCATGTGGCCAATTAAAATGATATGTTTGATAATATAATTTATTTAGTAAATACTATATTTAGTTCCTAACCAACATGATGGTCTTGGAAAAGTAAAAAGAAATGACACAGGCTAGGCTTTATACATTGGATTTTCCCATTCATTCTGCAAATGCTAAAGGAATTTGTAGTTTGAAAATTGCATCTGTTATGCTATTGTAAATTTCAATGAAATATGTAATATTTGAAGGATATTTAATGTCTCCTTTTCACAACACAGCAGTTATATAATGTCTATGGTTTATAAAGAAATTATTTCAGTGCACAATATAGGGCACATGCAATCAGGGGAATGGTGAAGAAACTCTCAAAAAATGTATCCACAGATTACTCCATACTTTAGTGTCTGTATAATCCATGCAAATCTGAGGCAGAGCGTGTCTGCACACACTGATCCAAAGACTACACCTAAGAGACCTTCCAGCAGGATATGCCAGAGAACACCTCTGATTCAGCTGAGGAATTCGTAGAGCTGCAACCAAGATTTGAAACTGAGATCTTATGGAATTCAGATTGTCCTGCTGTGGTGAGTTAGTGGTTCAAACAACTCATCCAAGGACTTCAGCAGATGTTCCATTAAGTGAATGAGAAACCAGTCTGCTCTGTCCATCTGGATGGTACTTCTTGTTCTGCATTTTATATGCAACCCTTACTTTTCAGGAACTACTTGTTAGGCTTGTTAGTCTTGTTAGGCTCATATTCTTCAGAAATCATCATGTGATATGTTTCCAATTCAGGGAAGTAAAGGGTGCTTGATGAGTGTTTCTAAATTGTCTGATTTTTGCTCTTTCTATTAATGGAATGGACACTTACAAATATAGAACTCTCAATTTCTAAATCCTACATAAAAGAATGAATTTACCACAATATACAATAATAAGACATTTCAAAGAACTTTATCAATTTGTAGAAAAAAATGAAATAAAACACAACACAAACAAACAGAAAACCCAGGAAAATGATAAAAAATTCCCAAACTAATCCTTGTAGAAGAACCCTATTTCCAAAGCT